GGCATGTGGTGCTGGGGGATTGAACCGCGGTCCCCGTGCTTTGCTAAGCTTGTTCCAAGTAGGTGCTTTAGACCACTGAGCCATCTCACCAGCCCCCTTGGATCAATTCTTAAAGAAGATTCTCTTTTTTTTTTTTTTTTGGGCAGAACCACGGATTGAACTCAGGCCCTTGCGCTTGCCAGGCAAGTGCTTATTCTACTGAGCTATCTCCCTGGCCCCTTTAAAGAAGATTCTATCAGGTATTTTTTTATTTGTTTTCTGAGATGGTTTTACTATATTGTTTAGATTGGCCTTGAACTATGTAGCCCAGGCTGGCTTCAAACTCAAGGCAGTCCTGCCTCAGCTTCCTGAGTGCTGGAATTACAGGGATCCACTACAACACCTAGCAACTACTATGTATTTGTGTACCCTCAAGCAGTGTATCATTTATTTGGCTTTTTTTTGGCGGAACCGGGGATTGAACTCAGATCCTGTGTTTGCCAGTCAAGCACTTATCCTACTGAGCCATCTCCCTGGCCCCTATTTGGCTTGTTTTTTTTGTTCCTCGAATGCCTTCAGGGCACTTTTGGCCAGCGGGAGAGGTGTGAGGTTCGAACTCCAGCAACCTGAGGCTGACAGCTTTGTGGAAGCAGCCACTTAAAGGCCTGAGCTAGGGCCAGGCCCCCTATTTGGCTTGTTTTTAAACTTTATAAAAACATACAGTCTGCTGCAGCTTCCTTCCTGTACTTCAGGAAACAATATTTAAAGATATTTTAAATCTATAATACAATTTACTGAGTTTTACTATTTGTCAGACACTGTTCTAGGCAATGTTGTTAAAATTAATAAAAAAAAGACAAACATTCTTTAAAAATCCTCCCCCCCACCCCCATGCCAGGAATTAAACTCAGGACCTTGTACTTCCCAGGCAGGCACTTACGCCACTGAGCTGTATCCCCAGCCTGTAAAACTTCATGCCCCTACTTGAATTTATGTTTTCTGTCCAGTGGATATTTGCTTTTAATCTTACATTTCTTTTTTCCCTTCAAATACTGTTCTAGCAAAGACAGTTGTAAAAGCACAACTATGTTTAGCAAAAGGACCTGCTATCATTTACCACAGCACGGATCACTGCAGGACACAGGAAGAAGGCGTAATGGGTTTACAGCACAGGGCAGATTTTTAAGTGTTTACTTTTAGGGAATTAATGTGCTTCTACTCTGGATGACTGGTCCCGGAGAGTGTCAGAATCAGTGAAAGCTATTCTGTTCATGGGAACTCTGGCAGGGAGGAATCAGAAAGGTCCAGACTCAGTTTCCTGGCATGATACCAAATATCAGAGACCTTTAAGGGAAGCAGCCAAGGGAAAACCAGCGGGGAGCTTGGGCTGCTTTGCCTACACTGAAAGTTTAGCTGGCTCTTGAGTCCCTACTCTGAAGGGCTATTTCTTTAAACTGGAAAGGGCCAGCGAGATAGCTCAGTGGACTAACGTGCCTGCTTAGGCAAGTGCAGAGATCGCCGGCACCACATGCTGTGCCAGCCCCACCCCCAGGCACGCTGAGCCGGCCACAGAGTCCATGCGTAGTGGCACACACCTGGCATCCCAGTGCCGAGGAGGCTGAAAGCAGAGGATCACTATGAGCACAAGCTGCGTAGTGAGACCCTATAACAACCAAATACATTAAAAAAAAACCCAAAAAACAAGAATACCCTGGAAGTAGAGGGCAGGGAGAACCTGTGGCCCCTCAGACTGTATGGAAAGAAATAACATATAAGTTACATTACAGCATGGGGAAAGCTGCTTAATTGCTTCCATATGCCCTGGAAGCAGAGAAGATGTACTTTCCCTCTTAATCACTGTATTCTGTGTTCCTCAAAGAAATTTTCTCTTTTCTTTCTTTGAGATAGGGTCTCAACATGTAGTCCAGGCTGGCTTTGAACTCAGTGTTTCTCCTGCTTCAGCTTCCCCGAGTGCTGGGATTACAGGCGTGCACCACCATCCTAGCAATCCTTTGAGTTTTAGACACTGCATGGAATCTAACCCAAAGATCCGCAATTCAGAAACCACTGGTACCTGAGGTACCAGTTCCAGCTTGCTACTTACCAGTTCCAATGGAGAGGCCACTGCTATTAGAACGGATGGTCTTAGAATTCAGTACTTTCTCTGAGGAAAAATAGTGAATAGGTAAACATTGTATACAGACATAGACAGTGAGAGGAGACTAGGATAATAATTTAATAGGAGAGATAACATCTGACTCCAAATAACTACCTGCTTATTTACTGTTTAGAAATTAACCTTACAAACCAAACATCACTAGTTGCCCTATCTATCTATCTATTTATTTATTTATTTTTTGTGGAGCGGGGATTGAACTCAGGCCCTTGCGCTTGCCAGGGAAGCGTTTATTCCACTGAGCCATCTCCCGGCCCCTAGCTGCCCTATCTAAAGTGACAAGTCTCCACCTTTTCTGTTCACTCAAAGCACCAAGGGAGCCCTGCACAGTAACAGCGCCTAGGCTCCATCCTGGACAGTCTGGTTCAGATGGTCAGGGATAAGGCCAGGAGCAGGATTTGTAAAAGCCTCCAAGGGATTCTGACATGCAACCAAGATCTAAGGATCATGCAAACTCTTATAGAAACTTAAAATTTAGTTTGAAGGACTAGTATGCAAAAAATAATTAGCAGGTAAATTGAAACAACAAATTCTATGGGGGTGGCAGAGTCCACAGTTACATTAAAAAATGGCCAAGAGATGGCAAATGACAAAGCATTGGGAACAGCAATTCCCACCACTGGGCACGGCACCCCTGAGCATCACAAGACTCACACAAATCATCTCTTTCTTCAGGACACTTCCAGGACTACGACCACCAGTTCGTTCTGCCAAAGTGATCTCAACCCCACATGTATGAACCCTTACCAACAATGAGAATGGTGTGCCAGCCACGGCAAGACAGGTCTGGGACATGATGCAGAGATCCAAAAATAGGCCGCGGCCACGAGGTACAGATATCAGAACCATGCGGTCTCTCGGTGGGGGTCATGGCCAGGCGGCCATTACCACCATTGCCCCAGGCAAAAATGTGGTTATCTAGAAAAAAATTAAACAGCACATCATTTCACAGAAGACTGTCTTCCCATGATGTCCCACCATGTACCACAGGGGGAAAGCTGTTCGTTTCTTTTGATCCCACCTAGGTCAAAATGATCACTGTTCTGATGTATTGCCATTCATTCATTTAATCATTTAACAACTTTAAAAAAAAATTGTATTTTTTTTATGGTACCAGGGATCAAACTTGGGCCCTTGTGCATGGCAGGCAAGTGCTTATGCCGCTGAGCTGTCTCCTTGGCCCTTAACAACTTCTTAGTGGGCATCCACTCAAACATTAAACATTTATTTCAGCCCTAGCATTGTTCAAGGTGACTGATCAGAACAGAAAAAGTTTTGGCTCCTGTGTAACAATCATCCTGTAGGAGAGAAAAAATACAAAGATATCTAATTTTTTTTTTTTTAAGGTGGAACCGGGGATTGAACTCAGGCCATTGTGCTTGCCAGGGAAGTGCTTATTCCACTGAGCCATCTCCCCGGCCCTCAAAGATATCTAATATTTCAGGTAGTACTAAGTGCTGGAAGAAAGAGGTGATAAAAAACAAGCAAAATAATAGTGGAATTACTTTTTTTAAAAATGTATTTAGTACAGGGTCTACAGGATCTCACTACACAGATCAGACGCGTAGTGATCCTTGTGTTTTCAGCTTCCCAAGGACTGGGATTATAAGCACCTGCCACCACGCTTAGTCTCAATCAAGGTCTCAGTGCATCCTGGCGGCAGGGCCCGCAAATCACGCCAGGGATTGAACCCTGGTCCCTGAGCCTGCCTAAGCAGGTGCTTTAGTCCACTGAGCTATCTGGCTGGCCCTCCCTTACTTTTGATAGTAGTCAGAAAAGTTGTTTTTGGGGATAGGGAGATAGCTCGGTGGTCTAAGTGCCTACCTGGCAAGTGCAAGGATCTGTGTTCACTCCCTGGTACCGCATACTGTGCCAGCCCCAGAACCCCAGGCACGCTGTGCTGACCACTGCAATATTCTAGTGCTAGGGAGGCTGAGACAGGAGGATCACTACAGTCCAAACCAAACCACACCAAACAAACAAATTTAAAAAAAAAAAAGGTCATTTCTGAACTTGAGCAGAGAGCTGACTGAAGTGAAAGCAGAACAGCAAGCTCAAGGTCCCACAGGTAGTGCCATAACACTGACAAAGAGTAAGGAGGGTCCTGCAGATAAAGAGTCAGGGCGGGGGTGGTTATAGAAGAGAACAGGCAATGGCGGGGTCCAGGCATGGGGGGCCATGCAGGCCACTGTGCTGACTTCGGCTTTTCCTGACTGGTGTAGAAAACCATCAGACATTCTGAGCAGGAGGGACATACAAGGACCCAGCTGCATGGGTGACAGGGTGGAAGGAAGCAGGGAGGCAAGCAGGAGCGCAAGTGGCGCCACTGATGATCATGCTCACTGATGATCATGCTAGGCTGAGAGACGCACGCCAGGGCTCACGGGGCAGCTACGCTATACGGCTAGTCTACCTGCACGGGAAGGCTGAGGGGCTGCTGAGCAATGTCTGCAGGGCAAGATGGCGATACAAGGCTGTCAGGGTACAGGGGAGCCTGAAGGGGATGAGTCCCCTCCCTCTGAAGACAGGGTTAAGCCCTGGGAAAAGGTGGAGGCTTCTATCAGAGCACCCGAAAGGTCTACCTGTATTGGGCTGGGGATACAGCTCAGTGGTACAGAGCCTGCCTGGCAAGCACAGGCCCCGAGTTGAATTCCTGGTACCAAAAAAGATCTGCCTCTATTATTCTCTTTAGCCACATTTACTGAAACCAACATGGTACTGGGCAAAACATCAACAGAAGAACTTAATAATTGTGGAAATAATTTACTACAAAGTTAATGTTCATATTAAAGGATATTAAGAATATTAGATATTAGAATATTAAGTTGTCATTCTAGAAAATTCCACCATATTGGACACAAGGAACGTTAATGAAGCTTAATATGTGTAATAACCAACCACCAGCATAAGCCTGAACGTTTAGGGGCTAGGATTGTTTGATTTTGTATAGCATGATCCTGCTACACAAGAACAAGTCCATCTCTTTCCCATTTAAGAACTACAACAAGGCCATCTATCCAGAAAGCTTGGGCGCCTGCCTGTTAGGTCAGCTGTTTCAGCACCTGCTTATGCAAATGATCCCCAGCTCCTCATGCCTTACCAGGCCTGCCCTTAAGGCAGCCTGAGCCAGTCCCCACCTCCCAAAAAATCCTTATTCAGAAAGCTTGAACGTGTACAGACTCACCATCCGTGGCAGCGATGGTGAACTCATCACCACAGGAGACCCTGATCACCTGCTTCCCGCCGAGGGGTCCTCCCAACAGGTTGATTCCCAGGCGCTTCTTGTAATTCCCAACACCCAGCTGCCCACACTTGTTGCAGCCAAACGTCAGCAGACGGCCTCGCTCTGAGAGAGAAGCAAAGAGAATCAAGCACACACAAGTGGGTCACGGGAACTCTACGCACTAGCTTCTGCTTGCCAGAACATACGAATGTTCTTTGCTATCCAGGTATTGTGACCAGGCAGGACTAGTAAACAACTCAATAGCGCCTTCTCTTTCTAGTCCTGTATTATTATTTTTTTAAATTTATTTGTGTGTGTGTGTGTGTGTGTGTGTGTGGCCAGCGCCGCCCACCAGGAGGCGGGGCTGGCTGGCATGTGGTGCTGGGGGATTGAACCGCGGTCCATGTGCGTTGCTAAGCTTGTTCTAAGTAGGTGCTTTAGACCACTGAGCCATCTCACCAGCCCCTAGTCCTGTATTTTTAATGTAGGAAATTGGTAGTACCTAACTTCAAATACTTATAGATGGTGCTAATGAGAGACAACGGAAGTCAGATGTTATAGGTAGATAAGCAAATTATGTGCCTGAATGCCTAATTTTTGGAGTTAACACTGGATGCTAGAGAGAAATCAGGAGGGCGCACATACCATTAAGAAAAGCTAATATTCGATGGAATAAAACAGTCTGAATGCCTCAGACAAGTAATATAGTTAGAAATCAACTTACCATCAATAGCAGCTGTATGGGTCTTGCCTGGGGCAATGGCACGGATTTTGTAAAAGGACAACTGCTTGGCCCAGGTGAAGGAGGCCGCAGAGGGGACTTCGTGGTATGCCTGAAACAAGGAAGTGCTAAGCTGTCACGAAGGAAGTTGGGGGTAATCAGGAAGGGCTGCGGAACCTTTCAAAGAGACTGTGTTACAAGGAGGAGGGTTTTCTACATTAAGCTAGCAGAAGAAAACGTCACGATACATAATGAGAATTTACCATATGAGGCTGGGCTTTCTGAAAACAGATTTGACACCTATTTGGAATGTAAGTAACACATGAACTCTCCAATGCAGAAAGCACACAAAGTCCTGAAGCGCCCCTTCTGCCTGCGGAGCACCCACCGTGATCTAATCCCACAAACACAAAAGTGTTGTACAACTTCTTAAAATCTGCATTCCATTTCAATTAGTACAAAAAAAAAAAAAAAAAAAAAAATCCTCTCTATAATGTAAGATTTCACATTTAAAAGCCCCCAGGGACCAGTGACTCAGGAACAATAAATGCAGAAACTCCCCAGGGAGATGAGTCACGGAAATGGTTTTTTTTTCATGTTTATTTTCTTATTTCTCGTTCAAAAGTAAAGTAAAACCTGAATTCTAAAATTTTATTCTACTTATGTATGTACATATGTATTTAAGGTGGCTTGAGGGATTGACTCTAGGGCCTTTGCACTGAGGCACATTTCCAGCTCTTTTGCTAATTTTTTATCTTTAGCCTCAGCCTCCAAAGTGCTGGGCATATAGGTGTATGCCATCATAGCCAGGTAACATTGTATTCTTTGTAATCTATTTATTGAGGTACAACTAACATACTAGAAAATATCATGTAGTTTGATACATTTTTCTGTACATATACTTGTAAAACTACAACCTGGATCAACATAGAAACCATCCCCATCACCAGATGATGGCTTTTATCTTTTCAGCTAATATTAGACCCTGCTCCCATAACTGACCACTACTTTGACTTCCTACTTTAGAAGTTACTTTTGTCTTTTGTGTTTTTTTGAGACAGTCTAGCTAGGCAGTTCAGGCTGGCCTCAAACTCCCAGTGACCCTCCTGCCTCAGCCTCTTGAGTGCTAGGATTCCAGGGATGTGCCATCATGTCTGGCTATTTTTTTCTCTTCTTGAATTTCATATAATTATAATCACACCGGCTGACTTTCTTTGCTAAGCAGTGTCTGCGCCACTTTGACCTCCGGTCAGATTCCATGGTCACTAAGCAGTGTCTGTGTCACTTTGACCGCCGGTCAGATTCCACAGTCACTAAGCAATAATCCCCGAGAAATTCCAACCTAGAAAAGCTGTTCTGGTATGGTTAGGGCACCATGAGGGCACTCACTTCATGGTTGATAATCCCCGACGTGCACTGATTCAGACCCAGTTTGTTGAACTCATTGAGCCCACAGGCCAGCACTTTGCCTGACTGTGTCAGCAGAAAGGTCCCATCAGAGCCACACTGAACTGCAACAATAATCAAAGCCTTGGGAACATCAACCTGTAAGGAAAAAATAAATCAGAAAAGCAAATCTTAAATATGTAATTTATACTAGAAAAAACAAAAGAACCACCTCAAATCCTTTCCAGAGTGACATGCTGCATTCAGTAAAATGACAACAGGGCAGTAAAAGTTGCTCTGCTCTCTTCAGACATGCCCAAAGCTTAAGGGCTAGTTTTGTATTTGGTACTAAAGATTGAACCTAGTGGCCTTTGCATTAGACTGTATTCCCAATTCCTTTTTTACTTTCTGAGGCCGAGTCTTGCTAAGTCACTAAGATGCCCAGGTTGGGTTCAAACTTGGGATCCTTCTGCCCCAGCCATGCAGAGTATACGATCAACCTGGCAGGGTCTAGTATCTTTTTTTTTTTTTTT